TTTTTTTGTTGATGAGAGAAGGGAAATCGCCGTAACAAGCAGAGATATACGACCGCCACTGAGTTCAGTTATGAGCCATGACTTCCAAGGTTTCCAACCAGTGGTACTCCGTATCTTTCGGAACCCCGTCCAGGGAGTCTAGAAGAACCAACCGAGGCCAGCTGTTTTGTCAGCTATTTCAACCTGCTTCTCTAAGATGTAGGCTATTCACCGCACCGCCTCCTCCAGCAATCGCGAACAAAGCACGACACAGAAGACGCTGAATGGGTATACGCAGTACATAACCAAGCCATCGTAGTTGGCACAACGAGACAAGCGCCTCGTGGGAGTGGCTGCCGCCACCCAAGACACGCTGTCTGACTTTAACGTTGGTTGCGTAATGCAGCCACCACACACGGGCGAGGGATCGAAAGCAACGGTTTTCGAAGACAGACAGTCGGCGCAGGTCATCGGTAGGAGCAGGCCAAGTCTCGCAACCGTACCACAGGACATCGCGGACGGTGGCACTATAAACCTGCTCTTTGATGGAGAGACGGATGTCATGGCGGTGCCATCGGTGCCTCAGGTTGGAAAAGGCGAGACGAGCTCTTGAGATACACATCGAAATATCATTTCCAACAGTCCCACCAGTGGTGATGCAGCTTCCCAGGTAGACAAAAGCTGTACAACTCCCAGCGTCTCACCATCGATGTTGAGTGTAGGTAGGGGCGTCTGCCAGTCTTGAAAAAGCGCTTTGCAGTTTGATGGTGAAAAGTGCATGACATACTTCGACGCTTCAAATGCTAGGCGGTTAAGTATCAGCTGCACGGCCTGTGGACTGTCACCCAACAAGACGATATCAACGTAATCCAAATCAAACATCCGACTATCTGGGAGGAGGCTCAAGACCAGCATTCAACAAGTCTTCTAGAGCATTTTGAGGAAATCCTCAATGGCAAAGTTGAAGAGGAATGGAGAGATAGGGCATCTTTATCGAATCTCACTGAGGACAACAAAGGAAGGCGAAAGTTCGTCATAAGCCCCAATTCTACCCGTGGTCAGATTATAGAGAGCAGGCATACCGGAAACGAACTTTCCGGGAATGCCATTCTTCAACGTCTGGATGTACCTATACTTATTCTTATTAGCAACCCTTCCGTCTTTCTAATGCATCCAACTGGTTGACCACTCTGAAAACATGTCTGGGAACTCCATCGAACGAATTGGACGATTATCTATTTTATGTGATCAGATCATCTAGATGAATTGTACCTAACGTTGTCGAGAAAGATAGTATTTTTAGTTATCTATTCATTATATGTGTGTAGGTTCGATATATGGATACAGTTGCAAAAGAATAATAACGATAAAGAATTTAAATTCAAGAGACATGGGGAAACATAGATAAGTGCAAGTCAACGAAAGATGGAGAGGAGTAAAACAATGCTAATTGTAAAATTGTAAGGACTGCAAAAGAATGTGGTGCCGATTACAGACGAATTCTGCATGGTTAACTTTGGATATGACATGTGTGAATAACAGGGAGTTAGAACAATACACAACAAAAGAGTGATAGAGATAACCAGTGTGTAAGGAATAAGAAACATTTGTATGACGCAATGGTCTCATGAATTCGCTGACGGGTCCACACTAAATATATAGCAGACAGTTTGCATGGAAGGTGACGTGGATAGACAGTTAACAAAACAGCGTCAGCTCGGGTTAGAAGAGGAACCGAGATAGAATGCATTAAGAGAACATGGGCTGGAGTAATGAATGAAGATAAGTTGTTCCGCTACCAGTTCACAAATGACCCAGCAATATTTGGTATTTTTTCCATTGTAAGGTGTCAGTTGCCGATATTCCCTGTATAATATATGCTTATCGTCAATTCGAAATTTCAGAATGTTTTTCGCTCATTTGACAGACTTACAAACCTTAATTGATTGCTGAACATGCGCAAATGCACAGTACTTCTGATCTCTTTAAGTCACTTATTCCATATGGTGCCATATCTAAGGAGGTAAAAATGTTTACTTTGGACCAGTCCTGAATCTCCGCAATGTAACTACACATACTGTGCCTCGTACATCGCATAGAATTTTATCTCGAGGTTGCGAGGTGTACTTTTCACTATATGCTTTCGCCACACGATGTTTTGGAAAAAATTCAGTGCAGTCTTCTCAACCATGAAAGTTACAGTTTCGGCTTGCTTCAATCGTAGTGAAATCAGTTGTAATGAGTCGTCCTTAAACCAAGCCTACAACGGAGACAGCGACAGCCATCGACCAAACACTATCATACGAGATAACAAGTTATGGATGGCAAGTGATCCCACGGAGACAAAACGACCGTGCTGAGTCATGTGGATTATGACAGAAATCCGTATAAATGTGGTAGTAATAAAATCCACTACTTTAGTAGAAGCTGCCAATGGCCAAGGACAAGATTAATAGGATGAGCCGTGTCAAGGTCGAAAACAAGTGCCAGCTTTCTTGTAAATGTGAAAACTAGTACGGCAGTATGGGGGTGGTGGGCCCAGGCATGGATCACAGGAAAGTTAGCACAAACAAACCGACATCCAGCGAATAGCAAAACACGGGAGTCATAACAGGTGAGTCATTCAACTGAACCAAACGGTCGATAAAAAAGCCGATTCCGAAAGACGGTGACCCAAGCAAAGTGGATAATTTCAGGCCGATTAGTCTGATCACTGTTTGACCAAAGTACTCGAGAAGATTGTGAAGAAAGTTATGGTGTAAGTGCTGAAGACGAAAGACCTCCTAACAAACATACAGCACAATTTCATGGAAGGCCACTCATGTATACCCAATTTGCCTGTGATGAGGCACGAATTGTTGCAAGCGTTGAACCGGAAAAAGCAATAAACGCGAACTACATCGATTTCAGTAAAGCATTCGGTAAGGTGAAACATGAAGTCCGGCTACCTAGGCTGAGGATGTGCTGTGTTGGTGGTTCACAGCACCAGTGGATCAGCAACTTCTTAATTGGACGGAAGTGAACGGTACGGGTGGATGATCATTTTATCGACCGGTATTCTTTCACCAGTGAGGTAGGCCAAAGCATAGCACGGGGACCCATTTGGTCCTTTAACGAAGTACCTAAGAATCTTCGGTCGCTTATTCTATTTGTGGAAGACCTAAAGAGGTAGGGAATGACTAATGCTCCTGACGACTGTATCAGCTCGACCGCCTGTCCATGTGATCAGCAGATGCTGACTGATATACAACAGTCAGTCAATGTAGGCTGCACAATCCGCATAATCTAATTCTCAATTGGATGGGACAAAAATACTTGCATAACGAGACATCACAGGGGAACACTCGGGGATGGGGACTATGATGAAAATTGATGGAAAAGGAGAAGTAGGACAGTCCTGATGAACGTTACTGATGATGCAGGTTGAGTGACTTTGTAGGTGCGAGAATGGGGAAAATGTCATGCTAATTAATTGCATCGGAATAACTTCCATGATGGGCATATCGAAGAGAGTGGAAGGGTGTGCTTATGAACTAAAGGAACGCAGCCATAATCATTCTGATGATCAAATATTCAGAGCTACGTGTTCTTTTCGTAACAGCTGCACGTGCAATCCATCTTGAGTAAATAACGTGCACTTAGTAGCTATATCGACGGAAAAATTAAATATATGCGCGATACCGCACAACTACCTAGCGAAATGATCAAACATGCTAAGATAACACCGGCTGTTCAGAGCTGATTACCACCTGGTATCAGCAATAGTTCACAAGGCAGATCGACGAGATGAACATAAACACTACCTTTGGAACCAAATACAGGAAAAACTCACCCAGTTTCGCAGATCCTGAGGAAGTTTAGCGCAATCATCGAGGACAATGCCCTCCATGTATTCGGCAGTCAACACACGGGCCGTAGTGAGTTCGTCAATAACAGCAGGAACCTGGTATACCGGGTCATCAGCCAGTAGCGATGCGAACCGTTTACAATAGTAGGCTTCACGCTGGTAATCGCATTCCGCTTGTAGCTCTCGTTTAGCCACGACAACGGCGCGATCAGCAAAAAGACCGGGAGGCAAGATGTTGAACCGCTTGAGGATGGACATCAGGTTACTGATGTCCGAATCAATGCTGTCTGCCACCCCTGGGTACTGTATTTTCATAGCAACCAATCTGAACGGGACAGAGAAGACAATGAAAGCACGAACAGATTTACAGAATAATAGGAAAGCTGAATCGAATAACAAGGCATCTGGTTGCCAACTCAAAAAACTAATGCATGGCGTGCTTATCACCGGGGTTAGGGAGCACGTTTCAAGTGCGACAGACTAGTGGGACCAAATGAGGTGGACACCTGAGTAACATAGAATGGACCGGTAAACAAAACGGGGTGTTTGAAAGTAAGCGTTAAATCCACTACACCTTGAGAAGAAACGAAGCAAAAAGCGTACCGTATTGTGTTGCCATCGCTATCGAGTGCTGTATCACAAAAAGGAAGGTACGTTGGAGGCTTGACAATAAACTGTATAAGGAACATGGTATACTTACCTGCCATCATGAAGTATTGCCTGATGCACCTGACCAATGCTGGCTGCTGCGAAAGGCTTTTCCTCGAAGGAAGCCAATTTAATAGGCCAATCTGGACCCAATTCGGCGATCAGCACCTTGTACATTTGCTTGGCAGGCATGAAGTCCGCAGATTGTCTGACCCGCTCGAAAATCTTTTGAATTTTTGGGCTAACAATGCTATCATCTAAGAGGAAATGAGTGATGGGAGACACCGTTGATGAAACACGGTGCGTAAATAAAAAGTAAACCAAATAATTCTTATCTCGGCTGACAAGAAGCTGTAGTCAAATCGGTGCTTACACTATGCTTGGGTCGGGTGCCTACGTGCGCTACTTAAGAAACGTAACCGAACAGCAAGTACTGCGTGGCAAACAGTCGTTGGTCGTAAAACAGCTAGTCACTGTGTGTTATTATGTTAAATTAATCAGAGAAAATAACATAACGTGATTGCGATGGGATTTAAATACGAGATCAGTACGCCGCTAGTATGACGGTGGAATGCCTGCAACAGATGGTGTGGGATTAGCCAAAGTCATGGTGTATTGCGGCCTGAAGAACGACTATCACACAGTCATACAATGCTCACAGTAAGCTTGACAGTGCTTTCATCACATGCAAGAAATGCAAGAATGCGCAAGATGTAAGCAGAAATAACCAACTAGTACATTCAAGGGCACTCTTATGGCAGCAGATAAGATAAATGATTGGAGTATGCCCAATCCTTAGGGTAACGAGCAAGAACAAATAGCACGACCATCTCTTGGTCGAAAGTTAGCTGAATTTTGAAAATCACATCTTTTATAAACTATCGGGACTAGCAAATAAAATGTTTGAGACAAGTGCCTTAAATCAAGTACAGCGAATTGAAAACAAGTGGTCTTTGAACGTGTCCACTGTACAACGTGTTGATAAACAGCTAGTGATAGGAGCGTAAAAGTTAACAACGTTCTACACTGAAGGGAGCACATGTGCATCGTGGCGGAAGTACATTGTGCTCACTTAAGAGGTGGTAGCGACGATGAGTTCGGACGCCCCAGTGTCCACATAAAGAGTTCGCTTGAAGAAGCCGGCGTGTACATGCAGCAAGCGATTTTTTTAAAGAAAAGTGCAGTAAACTAAAAGTGTTAGTCGAAAGACCAATACGTAGCATCTAGTTTATTCCATTAGTGTGCAGAGCAGACTGCGCAGTATAGGAACCGATATTGTACTCTGATTGACATTCAGATGCACAGATAGT